GCTGAGGATCGAACCCAGTGCCTCACACATGCTGGATAAGTGCTCTGCCTCTGATCTATAGCCCCAGCCCAAAAGCAATATCTCCTTAAATATAAAATAATGAAAGATAAGTGAAGTAGGACTTCTGTCCAAATTTCTAGATTACTAATGTCTGCCAGACAATCATGGTGGGATAGTGTAACCAGGAAAAACATATACTAAGTAGTTACTCTATGGCAGCATACCATAATCAATTTTCTGAAAAGATTATTATATTTTTGTGGCTCAACTTACTGATTTCTCATTTAGACTACAAGTCGCAGCAAGAAATAAGGCACCTGCCTCCCTTCCATGAAAACGTTCTGACAACGTACCAATGATGTCATCAATGATGTCAACAAGTTATATTGTTACTATTACACTATATTATCAATGGCTCCTCTTCTTTTACTCATTCCTTTAGTCCTGTAAGACCCAAGGATTAAGTTGCTTTACCACTATTCTTCTATAGTGCTCTCAAGGATCTAACTACTACCCCAGCACAAAAGACTACAGATATGACCCCTGAGTTTTAGACTCCTACAAAGATGATGCAATAAACTAACCTGAAACTCAATATGCTGAAAACTAAACCTATCATCTTTGGTGGCTTTACATTCCCTATAAAGTCCAAGCTTTTCTTGTCTGCCTTCATTCTTGCCTGTCATTCAGATTAATTTTTCTCAATGCCTAATAAAATAAAATTAGCACCTGATATTTATTGAACGCCTATTAAATGCCAGGCACAGTTTTTACAATTAACTCACTAATCTTCACAGTAATTTCACATGGAAGGCAAGTATTATCTCTATTTCACACTGAAGAAAATATCTTGCCTAAGCTAATACATGGTAGAGTCAGTTTAAAACATAACATATTGTGCTCTTGCCATGAAATTTCCTACTGAAAGCTACATACATTCATTATTATCATGGAGACAGAAAGTGAACATGACAAACAAGTCCACATTCACATGGAACTTGGAGTCTAGTAAGTGAGCAGAAGAAACAAAATAAAGAAAAAGCTTCTTATATAGACTATTAAAAAGGGCCAGGAAGAAAATAAACAAGATTTTATTATAGAAAATAAGACAGGTAGACCCACTAAAAATGATGTTGAAAGGTGACTTCCTTGAAAAATGATTTATAAGGTAAGACCTAAAAGATCAGAAGGCACCAATTCTATAAAGAGGAAAATATACCCAGAAGGCTTTGGGTTGTAAAAAAGCATAAAGACAGTATAATTGGCTGAATTTGTGTTTCCTCAAAATTCATGTATTGATGCCCTAGTGACCAATGTGACTGTATTTGGATTATATCATATGGATGGGACCCTAATCCAATAGGACTGAAGTTTTTACAAAGAGACACCAGAGCCCCTGTCCATATGTCTATCTGTCTCTCTGCCCCCAACACACAAAGAGAAAAGGCCATATGAGGATGCAGTGAGAAGGAATCTGTTCACAAGCCAGGAAAACATGCCTCAGTAGAAGACAATCTTGCTAGCACCTGCTAGCCACCACAACTGTGAGGGAAAACAAATTTCTATTGTTTAGGCCACCGAATAAATTGGAAAACCCCAAGTTTTTTGTTTGTTTGTTTAAGTTGTAGATAGACACAATACCTTTATTTATTTATTTTTATGTGGTGCTAAGGATCAAACCCAGTGCCTCATACATACTAGGCAAGCACTCTTCCCCTAAGCCACAATCACAGCCCAACCTATGTGTTTTGTAGGAACTGATAAAAACCAGTATGCTGAAATGTAAAGAGCAATGGAGATAATAATACGTCAAAGACTCTCAAGCCCACAAATGATAGATGAACCTGAAATAAAATAATAAAAAAATAGTTCCTGGTAGGAAGGTTTGAGCTCATGTATAAATGGACTTGAAAATATTTGGTGTGAGTTTTTTTCCCAGTGACTGAAAGTCATTAACACAGTTACAGAGGCCACTATAGTCCACCATGGAATGTACGAACAGTTCCACACAACAAATAACTGTTAATAAAATGTTAACTGTGCCCTACTGAATGAAAAACAATGGCTAATACATATGCTATTTATTCAGGAAACTACAGAAAACTAAGATTTGGCCCTTTTTAGTGGTCTTTTTTTTAACTTCATTTTTATTTTTTAGCTGTAGTTGGTGCAATACTTTTATTTATTTTTAGGTGGGGCTGAGGATTAAACCCAGGATCTCGCACATGCTAGCTGAGTGCTCAACGGCAGAGCCACAGCCTCAGTCCTTTTTAGTGGTTCTTATACAACCAAAGATGGTTCTGACCTAATCCTGGTAATTAAATATGTATTAATGCCTATGTGCAAGAAATGATGTTGGATATGGAGCATATGCAAATGAATCAGACACTAATCCTAGGCCTAAGAGTCAGAGTGAAGAGATATGATACCACATTTCTTTCTTTCTTTCTTTTTTTTTGGGTGAGGGAGTACCAGGGATTGAACTCAGGGCACTTGACCACTAAGCCACATCCCAGCTCTATTTTGTATTTTATTGAGAAACAGGTTTTCACTAAGTTGCTCAGCACCTCACCATTGCTAAGGCTGGCTTTGAACTCACAATCTACCTACCTCAGCCCCCTGAGATGTTGGAATTATAGGGGTGTGCCACTGTGCCCAGCATGATACTATATTTCATCAAATTAAAGTACTATCCATTTTAAAGGCATCATTTTATATACCACTAAGATGGAATAACACCAAGTAGACTATGACATCAATTTTAAGATATAATTAAACCTTAAAATATGGAGGGGGAAAATATATATATATGTGTGTATTGATACTGGGGATTGAAGCCAGGGTGCTCTGAAACTGACCTACATCCCCAGCTCTTTATATTTCTTATTTTGAAACAGGGTCCAAGTTGCTGAGGCTGTCCTCAAACTTGTGATCCTCTTGCCTCAGCCTCCCGTGTTGTTGGGATTACAGGCATATGCCACTATGAGTGGCTTAAAATATACATCTTAAATAAATGAAAAAGAATATGAAAATAAATAGCTAAAATGGAAAGAGTTGGAGAAGTCACACAGGAGCTCACAGAAAGGATAAAATATATCCAGGTCTGATAACCAGGGAGCACTTCATGTAGTAGGGCATATTTAAGTCCACTTTTGAAAAAGATGGAAAGACAGAGATTGAAGGAAGGAATATTTTCAGAATGAGGGAAATGCCAGCAGTAAGGATTAGAAGTAATAAAATGAGAGATTGCTACAGAGAAATATTTATAGAGATACACTGTTAAAAGCCAGAATGACCAGGATTAGGGGAACCTTGAATGTAGGTAAGCTAAAGAGGCTGAAATTGGCACAAAGGTTGGAGGAATCACTGTCAAACACTTTTTTTCAACCTAATACATTTTAGGGCAATAATATACATAAAAAAATTGATTCAGGTTATATTTTAGGAAAGATAATTCAGTAGAATTGTACAAAAATAAATGAGAATTAGAATAAAGACCAAGAATCTGCATAAGAAACTGACCCTCCAAATAAGAAGTTAAACATATCTACATTTGATTAGTTACACTGGGAAAAAGATATGGTGGAACTATTTTAACAAACAGAAAAAATAAAGGAATGAAAAAGTTTATGCTCAAACAAGAACAAGTGCATTCTTGTTATGTTGGTGAGTCACTCAGGTGATGTCCAACAGGGATCCAAGATGGTAAAGAATGAAGAAGTTGAAGTCTAGAAAGAGACCATCATCCAAAAAGAGGTAAACTCATAATTTAGATGAAACTCTAAAAAGGAGGCAAAAGAAGGTACTACAAGTAAATATTTTTGAGGTGAGCATGCATTTAAAGCACTTAATTGCCTTATTACAAGTAGTTGTTTTCATATCTTACAATAATCTTACATTGACTCTTTTATTGCTAATTTGAACACTATAAATCTGCAACGCAAACATGCACAGAATTATAAAAAGCAATACAAAAAACAAGGCATTTCATTAATTTTCAACCTCCCACTTATGTGTGTGCATTTATAAGCTTAGTAAAAATAATAATCCACATGTATGAAAGCAGCTGAAAATAATAAAGGTATTGATGTAATTATAGAGAATTAATATTTCATTTCCTAAGCAGTTTTAGCATGAACATTCAGTTATTCAGGTTGATCTAAGAATAATTGTAGTTATATTATCAAACTATCTAAAAAAATTTGTTTTGAAAACAGCATATTTAAAAATCAGCATTTTTAAATTAGGCAATTTTTCAAGTATTTTTAAAGCATAAAGGCAATGCCATCCTGTACACACAAAAGTGAGGTCTCAAGTCACACACAGAATAAGAAGAAAAATCTGTAAGTCTATGATGTTAAAACTTAATTGCACTGCAAACACACCAAGGGGCTTCAGTTAAATTCTATTCATTTTGAATAAAATATTTTTTGACAAACTGTCCTCAAGAGTGATAGAGTGAGGGTTGAAGGAAAGGAAAGAAAAAAGGTAGAAAAGAAGAATTGGAAGGAAGAAAAGGGAAGGAGAAGCAACTCAGTAGAGCTAGCTAACAGTCTATAGGTGGTGAATACCATCCTGGTGTCCCAAAACAGATTCACTAAGCAAAGACAAGGAAGGAAATGGGTTTGTAATGGAAGCTACCATGACAGAGACTGTTGAATATCATATGGCCTGTCTAACTGTGCATATATTTTTTCAAAATATATGAATGCCAAAGGAATCTGATAAGGAAGAAGCAGACTACCTGTTAGCCAAAGTAAACAGCACAAAATCTGTATTCTGTACAAATGCTTGTATAAACTGAGAAGACAGATATTGAAGTATCATGTTAACAGCTTGTCAAAACATTTCTTGTGTTACTACTATATGACTGATTTTGCATTAGCAGATTCTCTCAAAGGAAAAAAAAATCAAGTAACATTTTAAAATTACATACTGCACAATAACACTACAATTAAATTTAAACAGAGCAAGAAAATTTTTTTAAAAATGTGAAATACCTCAGTCTGACCTTCATGGGCACTGGTCTCATGAGTAACTCGAATAGCCTGTAATAAGAATACAAGGTATTTATAGAAACAAATGACTGTATCCACTTTTTAAAATGAAAACAATAACAAAGCTAAAGGTTAACACTGAAAGTCTTTTAAAGAAACAATAAATTGGAGGAAATTTAAGAATAGCTTATTACTAGATATTTCAGAATGATAACTGAGCAAAGAAATGAACTGCTGAACTTTTTACCCACAGACCTCTGAAGACTTAGAAAACAGAATGTATGATTATGTATAATTTCCTTGGTGTAAGCAGGGGTCATTGAACTTATTTGTTGGAACACCTAACACTTTATTCACTTGAGAGAGAATAAAGTGAGCATCTCAGAGAGAAACTGAAGAAGCTTATCTATTTCTCCAAGTTCCATGCAGCTCTGGCTGTATATGCTTAAACGTGCATTTTTCAGTTGACAATTTAGAAATGTGGAGTAAAAAGCATGCATTTATCAGAAGCTAGAGAATTTGGTTCCCTGACCTTTAAAAAACAAAAAATGCTCTTGTAATACCTATGATCAGCAAAGATGCAGAGATGCAATAATAAACTGTAAGTGAAAGTACAATCTCTATGAATGGCAATTTGGCAACAAGTATCAAAGCCTTAAAAATATGCAAACTAGGGCGGGGGATGTGGCTCAAGTGGTAGCACGCTTGCCTGGCATGCATGCGGCCCGGGTTCGATCCTCAGCACCACATACAAACAAAGAAGTTGTGTCCGCTGAAAACTAAAAAATAAATATTAAAAATTCTCTGACTCTCTCTCTTTAAAAAAAAAAAAATATGCAAACTATATGCTCCAGCAATTTTTCTTGCAGGAATTTATATATTTACATAAGTGTACATTATAATATATAATTAAGGATGTTTGCAAAGATTTAGTTATAATGATGTACCTTACAATATTTTTTTAGATAGTGAAAAAGAGGGGGAAAACTATTAAATTTCTAAGAATATTTAACTGGTTTAAAAAAAAGCTATATAATGGAAAGATATGCACAATTAAATGGTAATGCCAATTACATATTTACTGGTATGTAATATATTTTTAATAAGTTAAAAAAGCAAGTTACAAAAAAGTATCACAGTGTGATCAATTTTTTTTTTACATATTTATTTTTTAGTTGTAGTTGGACACAATACCCCTATTTCATTCATTTATTTTTATGTGGTGCTGAGGATCAAACCCAGGGCCTCATGTGTGCTAGGTGAGCACTCTACCACGTAGCCACAACCAGCCCTCAAATTTTTTAAAAAAATATTGTATATATACATATATGCTCCCTGTAAAAATTACTAATGGTACCTATCATTGGAGGGATTACTGATAACTTTCATGTTGTTCATTTATTTTTATTTTTTATTTTTGGTCCTGGGGACTGACTCCTAGAACCAACTTGTTCATTTGCTACAGCCTTCATTGATAAAATAAAAGAATGACAAGAACTGATATTTCTTCTAACACTATTATAATGCTATCTATGAAATGATACAGTTATTTAAACTAGATTATATGGCCTGGCTATTCTAAAACAAAACATGGAACCTGTTTTTTCCTTTCATGTTTAGCCTTCTTCCAAATTCTCAGTGAAAGACACATAGGATATTGCCAAGCATGTATTTATGATAAATATGGAAAGGTAAGGAATATTCAGTCTTAAAATGCTTTATTAATTTGCAAACTCAATTTGTTTATTGAATTTTAGACACAGAAGTGGCAATTTATCAATATTTATGGATATTTCAGTTACCTGAAATATACCAAGACTTTTTTTAACTGATATGATAAATTCATACTTTGTCAGCACTGTGGTTTCAAGACAAATCCCCCAACAGAATCTATAATCCCACAAAACTTTGCCCATATATAAGATCAAGACAGAAAAAAGGTACCGACGTCATAGTTCTCGAGGTATCTGGCTCGTTCTTCAGGGCTCATTGACACTGACTCCTCCAGGAATTTTTTCAAGGTTGATCCAGATTCTGAGAATATCAAAAAAGATAAAATTGAAAATGTTTGATATCACAGACACTGGTAAATAAAGATAATAGAAATTTGCTATCATTCAGGGAAAATCCTTTCATTGGTAAGTTAGGAATATAAGAATTTTGGGATAAATGATAGGGCCTAAGTCATATGTTCATTTGCTAAAAGCCTCGATTAATAAAATAAAATAGCAAGGACTAATATTTCTTCTAACACTATAATAAATTCCCATTACAAAAGAGAGAAGGGAAATGTTTTATTCTATAGTTTGAAAAAACAGAATTAGAGCACCCTCTACTGCTCAATGAAATCAATCTATCTTAAGGGAGAAAAACAGCAGTTATGAAAAGTATTTACCAAAGTGCATCTTGTCTTTATTGTTCGCAATAGCATGGATCAGTCCAATTGTTCCACAGGCATTGCTGATTGTTTGCTTCATGAAATATACTGATGATGTAACATCCTGTCCCTGAGATTTTATTTTTTCCTCCTCTTCTGTTCTGAAAACTTCATACTATTTTTAAAAAGATCAATAGTGTACATGTAAGAAAGAACACATTAAAAAGGACTCTATAAAGGAAAAACAGAAATGATGAAACTTATTTTAAAGGAAGAAAAGGGCCAGCACAGTGGTGCACACCTGTAATCCTAGCTACTTAGGAGGCTGAGGCAGGATTGCAAATTCAAAGCCAGTCTCAGCAATTTAACAAGGCCCTAAGCAACTTAGCGAGATCCTGTCTCTAAATAACAAATAAAAAAAGGGGCTGGAGCGGGGGAACAGGCTGGGATGTGACCCCGTGCTGTGGTAAAGCATTCCTAGGTTCAATCTCTGGAACAAAAAAAAAATACAGTAAAATAAAATAAAAGGTTTAAAGTAAAAGAATTAATTTATCATCTACCAGACTAACAAAAGATTGAATAACAATATGCAGATAATATCCAGTAATGATAGGACATGAGGGAAAAGGCATTCTCATATGCCATTATTAGAAGACATTTGTACAGCCATGCTTGAGGATTAAGTATACACATTCTCCAACAAGCAATTTCCTTTACAGAAGTTTGGTTTAAGACATAATCTTTCAAATGTACAATTAAGGATGGCAATGTAGCTCAATACTTGATGCTTGCCTAGCATGTGCAAGGACCTAGGTTGGATCCCTAGTTCTACATAAGAAAAATACATATGTTGTATCACTTTAAGATGTTTTTTGTACAATTATATGTATGTACATATATAATTGTGTGTGTGCTACACAGTTTTAAGAACATAAAGTAGAAAAATTCTAATTCTAGCTTTGGTTAATATATTATAGTATATATAAATAGAATACTATAAAGCATTTTAAGATGAATAAATTATAGATCTACATATTCTGATCAAAAATCTATATATAATTATGATGTTATCAGTCAATATATTAATGTGATTTCCATTTATATTTTTAAAATATTTACTTTATATGTACATTAAAAAGTCTGAAAGGGGCCAGGAGTGGTAGCACCCGCCTATAATCCCAGTAGCTCAGGAGAATGAGGCAAGAGGATCATGAGTTCAATGCCTGCCGCAGCAACTTAGCAAGGTGAGACCCTGTCTCTAAATAAAAATACAAAATAGGACAGGGGATATGCTCAGTGGTCGAGTGTCCCTGAGTTCAATCCCTGGTAACAACAACAACAAAAAAGTCTGAAAGGTATAAAAAATTTAAGAGGTTATCTTTAGGCCAAAAAAATTACTAAAAGACTTTTCACTTTCTAATTTTTACATTTTTTATTGTTCACCACCAGCGAAACCATATTCCCTTTTTGATAACCATACTATATGAACAATCATACACTATCCATAATTAACATTCTCAGAGATCTACAATAACTGGTTATAAAAGCAATCTCACATAATGATAAATATCAAAACTGTGGGCTCTACAGCTTATGGTACCTGGGCCCATAACCTGGCTCAGCCATTCTTAGCTATGCGATTTCAGCAAATTACTTAATGTCTCTGAACCTCAATTTCCTGATTGCAAAAAAGGGTTTAAAAATAATAAAAGAGAATGAAAAAATGGGAGAGGAGAAGAAAAAGGCAGAGAATATAAAGATGATTTTATTGTTTTATTTATTGTATTTCTATAATTTTCAGATTTCAATAAGGTAGGAATCAGCAAATTATAAAACAAATGCTAAATCTGCCCACTGCCTGTTTTGTAGCTATTTTCAAGGCAAAGTTTAATAGCTGGAACAGATTCTAAAGCTTCCAAAGACAAAATAATTATTATTTGGTCCTTTATAGAAAAATCTTGATGATCCCTGTAATAAAGGACACAAATGGTATCTATAGAAAACAAGAATTTAAAAACTGGTTCTGGGCTGGGGTTGGGGCTCAGCAGTAGAGCACTCGCCTATCACATGCAAGGCCCTGGTTTCGATCCTCAGCACCACATAAAAATAAATAAATAAAGGTATTGTGTCCAACTACAACTAAAAAATAAATATTAAAAACTGGTTCTGTGTGGCTGGGATTGTGGCTCAGCGGTAGAGCGCTCACCTAGCACGGGCAGGACCCGGGTTCAATCCTCAGCACCACATAAAAATAAAGGCATTGTGTTGTGTCCATCTACACCTAAATAAATAAATTAAAAATAAATAAATAAAATAAAAACTGGTTCTAAAGACAAATGTATGTATGCTTTAAAAATATGAATTTCATGGGTTGGGGATATGGCTTAGTTAGTAAAGTGCTTGCCTTGCATACACAAGGCCCTGGGTTTAATCCCTAGCACCCCCCCCCGCCACACACACACACACACACACTATATATATGTATGTATGTATGTATGTATGTGTGTGTGTGTGTGTATATATATATATATATATGTATATAATTTCATGAATGTGCTTTTATTTTTTTTTAATATTTTTTTAATTGTTGATGGACCTTTATTTTATTTATTTATATGCAGTGCTGAGAATCAAACCCAGTGCCTCACACATGCTAGGCAAGTGCGCTACCACTGAGCCACTACCCCAGCCCCGATGAATGCGTTTTTAAATAAAAAATTTAAGCTACATTTTCAGAATAAGTCAACCTTAATTCACTGAAAGGAAATGAACTGACAAGAACTGTGGAAAGGTTCCATATATTAAGGTCTTAATACCAAAATGTTTATACGGTCCTACAGTTTAGTTTGTTGATTAATAATGTTCTTTATTGACAAAACAAAATAAGATCTGATAATTTCTAAATATTTAATGTTTAGAAAAAAAT